AGAGCTGGGGCTCCCCACAGCCTGTCCAGGACACCGGGCACAGCCTGGAGTGACCACCAGGGAGCTGGGGCTCCCCACAGCCTGCCCAGGACACCAGGCACAGCCTGGAGTGACCACCAGGGAGCTGGGGCTCCCCACAGCCTGCCCAGGACACCGGGCACAGCCTGGAGTGACCACCCACACCTTGCCAGGTGCTCCTCACACAAGGTGGTGTTGTAGAAGAAGAGGCTGGTGACAATACACAGTACAACTTTGACCTCTCACCTCAAAACCTGGTTAAAACCTGGGCAAGTCAAAGTTCTAAGGAGGATCAGACTCAAAGTTTGAAATCAGAAGCTCTGGTCTTAAATAGAGCTTCACTCAAAAGGTCTCACTGACACTTATCCACACATGAAGCTCTTCCAAGGTTGGAAGGATCTTAAAGATCAGCAGATTCCATGGGCAGGGACACCTTCCACCATCCCAGGCTGCTCCAGCCCCYTCCAGTTCCCTTTGTGTGTGGGAAGGCAGGGGAGCAGCGTGGGCTCGGGACAGCCCGGTGGGCACTGCCCCAGAGCGAGGGATACACACCTGGCCTTGCTGGACTGTGTGGGTGCTGCCAAAYTGCACATTTGCACTGATATTGGGGAGAAATCCTCCCCTGTGAGGGCAGGGAGGCCCTGGCACASATGTCCCAGAGGAGCCRGGGCTGCCCCTGGATCCCTGGCAGTGCCCAAGGCCAGGCTGGACAGAGCTTGGASCAGCCTGGGACAGTGGGAGGTGTCCCTGCCCATGGCATCAGGTGGCATTAGGTGATCTTTAAAGTCCCTTCCAATCCAACCAGTTTGAGTGTATTAAAAAGTTTAAATTTAGTGTCTAATCCAACATCAAATTAAGTGAAAGTAAAGGGTAATGCTGATTTCAAGCACTAGATTTGGTCTCTGGTGCTGAATGGGAAATCTCAGCTTAAAAAATGAAAATAGAATATTGAGAAAGCAGGGATATAGTTCCTTCATGAACTGGAAGGAAGAAGGGGCAGTGAGCAGAACCCCCAAAGATTTGGATGGCAAAGGCACCGTGAAGTTTTCACTACAGAAGCATCACTTTGGACTGGAGTTGTGCCAGCCTGGCAAACTTCTCTTATCTGCCCTGCCACAATGTGCATCACACACTTCCTCCAGAAAAAAAAACAACCAGCCTGCACTCTGTACCAACTGCACCCTGTAAACACCACTCTGCCCCACTGCTCCTCAAAGTGGAACCTGCAGGGGAGAAGCTGAAGAAGTTTTAGCTCTCGGGGTGCAGGAGCCCACACCAGTCACACAACCACATCAACKAAACAGCTGTTGGCTAATTTTAGAAAATGAGTCAATTAACACAGCTCTGTACAGGGAAAACAATAACTTCTAATAACTGCTTTAAAATTGGAGATGATCAGCATTYCTGGCAGTGTGGCTCAGCTTGCTCGTAGGGAATTAGCTGAAACAACCCCACTGACTGTAGTGATATGACATTTCCCAAGGTGTCCCCAGAGTCCCCTCTGCTTTAGCTCTTTGGAATGGAACGATGCAAACTGTGCTGGGAGCACACAGTCAGTCTGTGTTCACAGTGACACTGAGCAACTGCTCTGTCATCCCCGTCCCCAGCGCTGCCAAGGCTCTTTCATGCTGCCACTTTGTCTAATACAGAGAAAAGACTAATTAGGAACGCCAAGAACAAGCACAGCATTCCACACCAGTCTCTGAATTCCTGCAGAGCTGAAGTTGTCTTATTTCACACAGTCCAAGTCCTCCAGCTCCAAAGAACACACTGCAGATGCTAAACAACAGTTTCACAGGTCCACAGGAATTTTTTGTTGAATTAAACTGGCTGSATATAAATCAGGAAACATCATCCCAGGGTTTTTAACACACTTGGATACAAATATCAGGGGAAAAAAGGCACATCCTGTTATATTTCTGCACCCTTCCCAGCACGGGAGTGAATTCAGTTACCTACCGATACTTGACTTTGATCTTGTCATTGTCAGGGTTGCAGTAAAGCCTTTCCAGATGCTCCTGGGAATCGTTGGTCACACTTTGCCACTTCTGGGTTGCTGTCCTCCTCACCTGCCAGTGATAGGGTAACACWGTGTGATGCTTGGGACAATCACTGCCATAAACACAAGTGCCCTGGAGAAAATCCACACAGATTTCAATCCCGTCYTCCTGGTGGGTGTGATACTGCAGCTGGTTCAAGAGCTCAAACACCAGATCAAGGGAAGCTTCTTCACTTTTATCCTGAAATATCCCAGCACTGAATTTATTGCTTGGGGTCAAGTTGTATTGCATTGGACAGCTGTTCTCCTGGAATAAGCCAGATGTGTAGCTTTCCAGAATCTTGTCAGGGAACAAAGGACAAGCTGCACCATCACTAGCACTTGGGTGCAAAGGATGATCCTGGAATGATTCATTACCATTATCAGCAGCAGTTCCAGGAGTTTCTGGGGAGAAACCTTTGTCTCCTGACTGGAYGTCCTGCTCAGGATGCCCGGGGGAAGGACGAGCTCCTGGCAATTGACCCTGCACATCTGGAGCTGCTGGCATCAGCACAGTCACATTATTTTCTGTCTGAGGGCAAGAGGTACCGAGGTCCAGAGTCTTTTTCACAGCAGGTTCACATAAATCACCATGGCCACCACGCTGGCCTCGGGGCACAAAGACYCTATCCAAGGTGCCAGCTCCCAGCAGGCTGCTGAAGATCGGCCGCAAAGCCCGCAGAGTTTGTGTGTCCAGTCTCTTCTGCACTTGCTGCTTCTTCTTGAAGCAAGGCTTCACTGGTGGGATCCTTTCAGACAGCCTCATCTGAGGAGAAAAGTCCTCTGAAGGAGAGCACTTCATTCCTGGGCAGGGAGCCTGGGGCACCACACACGCCGGCTGGGGTTCCGTGTCCATCGGACAGACTTTGCTCTCTCCAAATCACTTTCAAATGTCCCAGAGCCTCCCAAGAATCRGTCTAGGGCAGAAAGGAAAACAAGACAGTTAATCTTGCTAATTGCTCATGGTTGACACGAACAAGATCACCCCTGGAGAGGATTTCGAGCCAGCAACAGCAAACTCCTCCCCTCGCTGTGACTGCGGGTAGCCCTTAGGCACGTAAAGCATGAAAACAGCTAAACTCAGGCTAATTAATCCCAAACCCACACTCCTCATCTCCCCGCACATCCAGGCTCTGAGACACTCCGGCACGCACACACAGTCCCCCGAGGGTGGGCAGGAAAGGGGGATGGTCCCACGCCTCCTCGCTGTCAGGATGTTCAATAAACAAGAGCACTCGGGTTCATTCTATTCCACAAAAGCGAACATGACAGCGCTGATTTCTGTGCCTCCCTCACACACAGACCCGAGGAGCACGAGCCACGTCCCCCCCACATTTCAGACATTCCTGCACCATTTCCTCTCCCACCAGAGGAGCAAACCTACACATTCCCATTCCATTCGCATGTGTCCTCCCTCGTGCCACCTCCCACACCCACCGGCAGCACCGCCAGGGAAGCGCTGACTGCACGGAAACCCACGGCAAACTTCACACGGACTCGAGCAGAGAGCACGACGTAATCGTGGCTCTGAGGAATGCCAGCGCTCCCAGCCCGTTCCTGCCGCTGCTGTGCTGTCCCCGCCCGTCGCCCTCGCCCTGTGGCACCCCCGGTCACCGCTGGTGACACGCTGCTCTCCTCTGCCTCTCGCCACGCTGGGCAACAGGAATTAAAAGTGGCCAGGGAAGCAAACAGAAAGGTGATAGTTACTCAGGAACTGGGAAGGACATTATTTGCAAGTTGCAGAATTGTATTTTTTTAAAGCACAAATAAGCAGTGTGTYTCATACGTCACCAAAAGCAAGCGCTATGCCTTTTAATCAGGAATGTTGTAATATTCGATTACATTTAATTAAACCTTCTTCAATCTCAAATGCAGGCTCAATGCTCAGAGCACAGCACATTAAGAATTACTTCCTGGATAAATGCATTCCGAGCAAAGTTACTCCTCACTTCAAAACAAAATTCCAGAAAACAGAGGAAATTTGGCAATAATTTCTTACTATGGATGATTTGCTCTGGAAAATTTCTCATTGAGTCTTTCATACTTTGAAACATTAACTTGTAAGGCTTTTCCATTTCCCTGGGAAAGAGCACATCAGGATTGCCAGGAAAGAGAAAAAAAGCTGTGCCTCTCCAGTTTTCCCATTTTTAGATTAAATTTAAAGCAACCGGTRTATCTGTTTCACAGTTAAACCCAAAGTCACCGGTGTATCTGCTGTTCTTCTACAGACACCGAGCAATTCCTCCRCACCACCAAAGGCACCTTCAAGTAACTCCAAAGGTTTAAAAATCCTCGACTCCGAAGAGAATGAGATGTTCCCGTTCACGCAGCCCAGGTCTCACAGCCCTGGCGAGGAGCAAGAGGATCTCCCAGGGCTCAAGGACCCCTGCCGTGCCAAGGCGCTGAGCAAGTGACTTCTGATCTTGTTCAGCCATACCTTTGCTGCTTATTTCAACATTTCTATTTCTCACTTGATCAGCAYTTAAGTTTTGCTGCTATTTTTACAGAACCGCCTTAGTGAGCAGCGCCGGATCCCCCAACGACTCTAAAAATAAAGCAGCCAGAAGGACGAGTGCGAGGATTTGCCGGCATCCCCGCCGCAGCGCTGCACCGTCCCGCCCCGGGAGCAGCGGGCAGGGCCGATCCCCGSAGCGATGCTCCCTCGCTTCAGCAGCCGCCGGTGTCGCGCCGGGAGGGCTCGCTCCCCGAGCGCTCGCCATCGCACGCGAGCCGCACCTCCTCTGCTCAGAAAGCCACTCCGCTGGCCTCAAAACACGTTTCAACAATAAACAAKAAAAGCAGCATCCCAGAGACAGAACCTGAGGACGGCGGAGCTGCCGGGCAGGCAGCCCAGCCCGGCTGGGACCTACCGGCGCGGGCTCCCTCGGCGCGGCTCTGACCCAAATCCACGGTAACTCCGAAGCGAAAGCACTTTCTGGTGGTGAGGGGAGATGGAATAAATAAAGGCGGGCGCTGGGGCGGTGCCGGAGCCGCGCCGGGACACCCTGACCGCGGCCGGTGCGGGGTCAGCACCGCCGTGTCCGCACCAAGGGAGGTGTCCGSTCGCACATCCCGCCCTAACCCGCTCCGATCCGCTCCCTCTGACACACTCCGCCGCCCGGTTAAATATCGCTGGCAGGAGTGCTGCGAGGGCAGCGCCGGCCGGGGCGGAGCGCGGGCGGGTCGGGCCGGTTCCCCACGCCCCCCGGGCCGGTTCCCCACGCCTCCCGGGCCGGTTCCCCCGCCTCCCGGGCCGGTTCCCCCCGCCTCCCGGGCCGGTTCCCCACGCCTCCCGGGCCGGTTCCCCCGCCTCCCGGGCCGGTTCCCCACGCCTCCCGGGCCGGTTCCCCCGCCTCCCGGGCCGGTTCCCCCGCCTCCCGGGCCGGTTCCCCCCGCCTCCCGGGCCGGTTCCCCCGCCTCCCGGGCCGGTTCCCCACGCCTCTCGGGCCGGTTCCCCCGCCTCCCGAGCCGGTCCCCCCGCCTCCCGAGCCGGTGTCCCCGCGGCTCCTGCCAGGCTGCAGCACGCCCCGTGCCCACCCTGCCCCGCCCCGGTGTCAGCGGCAAGAACCGAAAGCGCTGCCCGAGGCCGTTCCCAGGAGCGATAGGACAAGCGGCTCCTTCGCGTTTCATTTATCACGCACCGAGCGTTTCGTTTCAGCCCGGGAGGGAGGGAGGAAGGGAGGGATGTCCCCGAGCTCGGCGCTGCGTGCGTGGGGCTCGCACGCGAGCCGGGAACACGCCGGGAATGAGCCGTGGCAGCCCGGGCGCGCCAGTCACGCAGCACGGAGAACACACCGTCCTCAGGGAAAGCAAGGACGGCACCCTGACCCTCCCCGCGCCGCCGAGCTCTCGGTGCGAGGGCTCCAGTTGTGCTAATTAATGACTAAGAGACAAACACGGAGCCCATCCCGGAACAAAGTCACCCTGACTCACTTGGTGCACCCACACGCAGCCCCTGGCACGGCGCTGCCCGGATCGGGGCTGTGCTCCCGCCGCTGACACACGCCAGAAAAGCGAGCGTGGAGTGGAACAGGTTTCCCGGAGAAGCTGTGGTTGCCCCAGCCCGTGAAGTGCCCAAGGCCAGGTTGGATGGGGCTTGGGGCAACCTGGTCTATGGAAGCTGTCCCTGCCCATGGCAGAGGGGTGGAATGAGATGAGTTTTAAGGTCCCTTCCCAACCCAAACCACTCTGTGATAACGTGCTAGAGGCAGCTCCTATTTATTTGGGGAGTACTTTATAGGTGGAATTGGTAAGAGSACAGCCAAGCTCCCTCTGTCCCAAAGGCATGCCCGTGCTGTCACCGTCTGGCTGYGCGTGTGAGGGCGCACGGGGCTGGTTCAGCTGTCCGTGCCGGCCGGGCATGCTTCCCTGCTGAATCACTGCCTGTTCCCGGAGCAAACCCACCAGGGCACGGCCAGCACTTCACACGGACACCAACCAATGCATCCACAGCACTAGCTCGGCCAGATAAAATAACTTAGAAAGAAGTCAGTAACTTCAGAATGCAATATTTATGTTGAAGGAACACCTATGGTATTATTTGCCCAGAGAAGCTGCAGCTGCCCCATCCCTGGGAGTGAAAAGGCTGGGCTGGATGGGGCTTGGAGCAAACTGGGATAGTGGAAGGTGTCCCTGCCATGGCACGGGCTGGATCTGGATGAGCTTTAAGGTTCTTCCATCCCAAACCGCTCTGGCTTCCAYAACTCAGTGTTTGCTTTTTAAAACCAGTCCTTCATTCCTTCTACTCARTGACTTTATAAAATTGCACATACAGAAAACACAGGCAGCTAGAAAGAAACTCGTTTTAAGGTGGCACAAGCTGTACAGCACAGTTGGAAAATGCTGCACAGGTGCATTTATAGTGCAGGTAGAATATGTAATTTTCCTAACAAATTACAGAAATGGAGCTTYACAGAATCACAGAATCCAGGAACGGTTTGGGATGGAAGGAACATTTAAGCCCATTCAATCCCATCCCCTGCCAAGAGCAGGGACCTTCCACTATCCCAGGTTGCTCCAAGCCCCGTCCAACTTGCCTTGGACAATTCCAGGGATGGGGCAGCCACAGCTTCTCTGTGCCAGGGCCTCCCCACCCTCACAGGGAAGAATTTTATCCAAACATACTTTGAAGCCTTCCCTTKTCCTGTCACTCCCTGTCCTTGTAAAYAGTCYCTCTCCAATGCAATTGGAGAATGACTCAAGAGAGGCTGAGTAAAGGTGGCATCTGTATCTGCAGGAGCTGAAAACAAATTATCATCTGTAAATTAATTGAACTCTTGAGTGTCTGAAGCATCAGACAGAGCCTCCCAGTCTGTCTGGACCCAAGTGCTCCCGAGCAGGGTGACTGGGATGTGTCACATCCTCGTTCAGGGAGAAGGAGCTGCTCACACACACTTGTATTTATGTGGCACCACCAGATCAGAAATTACCACTTTGGAATAGCTCCTTTCACGCATGAGCTATAAATAAGAGGCACATATGGCTGAACTGCACACTGGGGTGGGCACAGCTCCCGCTGCACCGGGGCTGGGAGGATGGAACCGGACAAAGACAGAGGCTGGAAGAACCATCTTTCCCCAAACAAATATATAATTAAAGGAAACACAGCACAGCAGACCCTTGTACACCCATTTCTGAGGCCACTCCACACAAATATAGAAAGAAACTCTGACCACCATGAAAACATGATCTCATCTTTAAATACATGTTTAAATCTTAAGCAAGAGAAAGCAAGCTTTAATTATTTCTTTCAGATGGTAAACGGCCCCAGCTGAATGCAGCAATTTACAACTCTGACTTGCAAATACGGGATAATCAGTATGCACACTTGGATATGCAGATGAAAGAGGGGAAACATCTGACTTAAATGTTTGTGATAAAACAACAAAGCTCTCAGCTCCAACACATTTTTTTCTAGTGACAGAACTCCTTTTCTACCTCAACTCTTGCACAATGAACATTCTTCACTCCCTAAAACACATCCCAGTGCAGGAAAGTTTATTGTCTTTTCTAGTTTTATACAAGCCAACAAACAGCACCGAGATGACAACTAACAAAGAGATCATAGAATGGTTTGGGTTGGAAGAACCTTGAAACCCATCCATTCCCACCCCTGCCATGGCAGGGACACCTCCACTGTCCCAGGCTGCTCCAGCCCCAATGTCCAGCCTGGCCTTGGGCACTGCCAGGGATCCAGGGGCAGCCACAGCTGCTCTGGGCACCCTGTGCCAGGGCCTGCCCACCCTACAGGGAACAATTCCTTCCCAATATCTGATCCATCCCTGTCCTCTGGCAGTGTGACCCCATTCCCTGTGTCCTGTCCCTCCATCCCTTGTCTCCAGTCCCTCTCCAGCTCTCCTGGAGCCCCTTTAGGCACTGCAAGGGACTCCCGGGTCTCCTCGGAGCCTTCTCTTGTCCAGATGAGCCCCGCCCAGCTCTCCCAGCCCAGCTCCAGCCCTTGGAACATCTCTGTGGCCTCCTCTGGGCTCTCTCCAGCAGCTCCAGGTCCTTCCTGTGCTGGGCCCAGGGCTGGGGCAGCTCTGCAGGTGGGGTCTCACCTGAGGGGGCAGAGGGGCCGAATCCTGCCCAGGGCAGTTCTGGAGCCAGCACACACAGCTCAGGTTTGCTGAGCTCCCAAATTCTTCTCAGGGCAGTTCCCAATGCCTGGGTTTGTGCTTCTCCATACCAATACTTGATGACAAATGCTAAACCCCTGCAAATACCACTCCCAGCTCTCTCCTTTGCCAGCAAGCCAGGGTAGGTAAGCACCCAGGAAAAGGAAAGGTCAACCATGTGGACATTTATTAAAAGTTAACAGAAGGGAAGAAGGAATCCCTGATGTGCTGGCTGTGTCTCTGTGAAGGGGAAAGGACGTCAGCCAAGTTTCACTGATGAAAAGGAAGAGGCAGGAGGGCAGCAGAGGATTAGTGACACTGCACTCAGGCAGCCTTGCCTGGACTGACACCTACTGGTCTCCACCTGCTGTGGTTGGTTCTCAAGACAAGGAAGGCAGAAATGCCAAACATGTCAAAATGAATTTTTCTATTCATTAAATTCATTCATCAATTAATTTCTATTCATTAATTTTGTTCTACTCGTTCATTCTATTAATCTCCAGACCTTATCTGTTTATACATGATAATCTAGCACAGGTGTAAATGGAAGAAAGTGGCTCTAGTCTTTAAAATAAAACATTTTCTTGCTAGTTACCTCACATATTCACTGTGTGCTGGGGATTTTTTAAGAAATCTCGTATTTTTCTCTTTTACACTGCTCAAAAGAAAACTCAAAACTAGATGAAACCTTTTGAATCCAGACCCAACTTTTACATTCGCAGCTGGCAGTAACCAAAGTAATTTCTTTGCTCTCAAATTCTCCCTGTTTTAATATCTTGTACGGTAATTAAATTTGTAATTAAAAGTTTTGAAAGCACAGCATGATGTTTCTGCTACTGCATATGCCTCAAGTTTGGTGAAAATAGAATTTATCAGGAAAAAAGATCATGTATTCTACATGAGTACCACCACATTTCTGCTTATTTCACTTTCAGATCATCTTACCTCAGGAAGTGATTTAGGATTGATGAATGTGGACAGGGAACATAGGATTCCAAGGTGGGCCTTTTTCATGGAAAATTTGTTAGGAGTTAATCATTTCTGCAGAGGCATTTTCGTGTCCCAGTCAGAGGAATGGACCTCGACCCTTGGCCTACGTGAGCAGACAACACCTCTGTGCTTTCAGGATGTCAGMASAGCAACACATCCCACTGCAGCTCARTCGTTACTGACTGTACCTTACRGAACAAGAAACCATTTAGCACAGAACAGAAACAGAAGAATGTTTTATCACTCACACTCAGGTCAGCAGTTTCTCCAGAACTCAGCTTTCTAGGTAGAGTTTCCTTCCTCAGCTGGACCAGTCTGAGGGGAAAATTAATGATGCTTCCAAACTAAAATAATATATTTTTTTAAATCCCTACATTTCATTTTTGAAATGCACATAGTGAGCATTTGCAGGGCATCAGGTATAGATTGAGATCAGGTAACATAGTACACCAAAAAGTAACAGACTGCAGAGACACTCTGGGACATTAAACTGATTATTATAGCATCCATCCAGTTTGGAAGTTGAT